CGCCGCTCTACTGTGGAAAATTGCCACAATTTTCCTCCGGAGCCCCGGGGTCCCCCCCCCTCCGAAAATCCCCCCCCCTGAAAAAAACCCCCCAACCCGGGGAAAACCAAGGGTCACTACCGGTTCGAACCCCCCCCCCCTCGAAAACCGGAGGGGGGGTCACTACCGGTTCGAACCCCTCCCCCCCCCCCACTCACCGCCAGCAAACGACTCCCGGTCCCTACCACCGTCCGCACCACATCCCCCACTGTTGTTCCCAGCACCACTGTCCTCACCACCACTGTCCCCACTGGCTCCACCACCGTCCCTACTCTCCCCACCAGTGCCCCCCACCACTGTCGCACTGTCCCCACTGTCCCCACCACTGTTCCCACCAGGGTTCCACTCTCCCCACTTTCTCCACGGCCCCAACCACTGCCCGACTATCCCCACTGTCCCCACTGTCCCACTGACTCCTCCGCTGTCCCACTAAGCTGTCCCACTGTTCCCACCACTGTCCCCACTGTCCGCACCACTGTCCCCACTGTACCTCTGTCCCATTGTCCCACCGCCGTCCTCGCCACCGCCTTCACCACTGTCCCCACCACTGTACCCTCCACTGTCCCACTGTTTCCACCTCATTCCCACTGTCCCCACACCACTGTCCCCACCACCACCGCCCCCACCACTGTCCACTGTCCCTACTGTTCCCACCATTGTCCCCACCACTGTCCCGCTGTCCCCTCACCACTGTCCCCATCACCACCGTCCCCACCACTGTCCGCACCCCCCCCTCGGTTTTCGAGGGGGGGGGGGTTCGAACCGGTAGTGACCCCCCCCAGTTTTCGAGGGGGAGGGGGGGGGGTTCGAACCGGTAGTGAACCCCCCCCTTTTCATGATGAACGGAGGGGGGGAGGGGTTCGAACCGGTAGTGACCCCCCCCCTGGTTTTCCAGAGGGGGGGGGGGGGGGGTTCGAACCGGTAGTGACCCCCCCCCGGTTTTCCGCCAGCAGCGGTAGAACACGCTCTTTCTGACCTCCAGGACGCAGCCCGGCGGCAATGCCGGCGGCCCTGCACGTTTGCATTCCATCGGGCGAGGCATGTGCTTCCAGGACATGGCCCGGCGCCAATGCTGGTGGAGCTATCTTCGCGTCGGAGGTTCTGCCCTCCAGGACACAACCCGGAAGCAATGCCGGCGGCCCCGTAGTTGCCCCTCGTTAGGACGCTTACGCGTTCAGGACACGGTCCAGCGACACTGCCAGACGTGGTTTTCCACGTCGGAATTCCTGACCCCAAGGCAGGCCAGGCACGGCCTTCCTGCCGGAGGTCGACACCAATTGATTGTCGAACTCGAGCACCGTCGAGCTTGCGCAGGCGACACACCTCCCTGACAACGGGCCCGACCCGCCCGACCATTGCCAATCTGGCTCGGTTCGGGATCGCGGATGCTGGCAGCACCCTTCGGGCGCGCGCGTTATGCGCAGCCACTGGATCAAGGTCCACGGCGTTCCCAGACCCCCGACGTCATGATTTTTTCATGACGTCGACCCCCCGAGGTCTCGACCCGTTCCCCGGGACCGGTTTTTCGTCCTGAGTCGTTTTTTGACGGTCCCGAGGGCCGGTGAGGGCCCCCAAAGGCCAAAAATTGTGAAAAACCTCCCGTCGTGATTTTTTCATTACTCGAGGGGGTCTGGGTTCGCGGCGCCGCGCGCGGAGGGTGCGGCAGCGTCCGCGAGAGCCACGCCCGATGCGTCCCACGGCGAGGCGGTGCTTCGCGGCGCGACGGCCCGCCCGAGCCGGCAGCGAAGGGGCCGAGGCCTCCGCTCCAGCGCGGGCGCGTTTCGCCGACGTCGACTCGCAGGCTGCTGCGCGGCGCGCAGGCACGGTTGCGCCAGGCTCACGCAACGGGCTGGAATGAAGGGGCCCCAGGACACACAAATAAATATACACAAATAAAAATATCCCCCATATTTTCCCATATTTTCTGGGTTTTTGTCTTCCCCCCCACTGCCCATATTTTACCATATTTTCTGGGGAATCGAGGATTAATTGTGTCTGTGTGTTTTTTCCCCTCTTGATGGAAAGGGAAGCCCCTAGACGCCAAGCCGCTCTGGCGATACCACCCTCTCGTGCTGCCCGGGCCTCACGGCCCGCGCCTGCGCGCGCCGCGTCAGCCTTAACCTCCAAGGCGTCTCCTCACTCCTCCTACCTCCCCTCGGCCTCGGTGGATTCGGGGGATGCTCGCACGTTTCGCGCGCCCAACGCGCTGGAACACGGAAAGAGCAGTGGAATGCTGGCGGGTTCACTGTGGCCGGCGGCTCCGCGGCGCATTACCAATGAAGATAACCGCGCCCAGGAGCGAGGAGGACGAGGATGAGCTCCCCAACCTCATCCCTACTCCCCCCCCCCTCCTCAGCGCCGCTATGTGGCTCAACGCTGATACTTAGGCCGGTAGCTCGAACTCTGGGCCACCCTTGGCAGGATGCACTCGGGGGGGCCCTCGGTGAAACTTTCATTCGGTCCGACGCGCTGGTGGGTGCTCGGCCCCCGGCCGGGGACTCTTGCGCACGCGTCGCTAGCCGACGCTCCAGGATGGACCTCGCGGGATCTGCGGCCCCAGCCTGCTGCGGGTTCGGTCGGGCCCCTTTATTCTTGCATGACCCAACGTCGGAGGTCTCGCCCTTAGGACACAGCCCGGCGGCAATGCCGGCGGTCCTGCACACTCACCCGTCCGCCCTGGCGCACGCGCCTGTTCCGCGAGCAGCCCCGCGGCAACGCCGATGGTCTGCTCTTCATTTGGCCAATTCGGAGGGCCAGACTTCCTGGACACAGCCCGGCGGCAACGCCGTCGGCCCTGCACATTCTCCCTTCCTCGGGCGGGGCATGTGCCTCGAGGACACGGCCCCATGATCCTGCTGGTGGAACCATGTCCACGTCGGAAGTTCTGCCCTCCAGGACACAGCCTGGCGGCATTGCAGGCGGTCCTGCACTCATCTCCCCTTCCAGGCACGTGCTCCAGGTCACGGTCCAGCGATTTTGCTGGCCCTCGTTTTCATCAGGCTCGTCGGCGGTTCTGACCTCCAGGACTGCCCGGCGGAAATGGCGGCGGTCCTACACGCCTTCTTTATGAGGCATGCGTCTCCAAGACACGGCCTGGCGACATTGCGGGCGCTGATTTTGTCAATGGACACGTCGGAGGTTTCGCCACCTCGGACGCAGCCTGGCGGCGATGCCGGCGGTCTTGCACACTCAGCCGTGCGGCCCGGCGTATACGGCTATTCCGAAATCAACCTGGAGGCAATGCCGACGGCGTCATTGTGGTCGTTTTGGTCAATTCGGAGGGTATGACCTCCAGGACTCCAGGACTCCAGGACTCCAGGACACAGTCCTGCACATCTTCATATTAGTTCGCGAGGCTTGTGACTCCAGGACAATCAGGCTTCCTCGTTACACTGTTTAGCTGGACCGATCACAGGTGCACTGGCTAGGAGTAGCAAGCCGCCCTGACCTTCTGGCACCCGGTGAGCATCCACAGGACCTCCCTACATGGATAGGGGGTCTGCGTCTGACGCTATTCTGGGGGATGCCAGTTCATCCTCCAACCAGGCGATGTGACACGCTTCACACCTCATCAGTTGCTGGGTAGGCGGCGACGTGACCTGTCGCGAAGCCCCCACCACCTAACCGTATGCGTCGAACAGAAGTGGCTGTCTCGGGTATGTCGACCACACGTACCACCCACCATTACACGGTGCCTTCAACGGTCCCCGCCCAGGCTCTGGGACCACCAGGGTTTTCACCCCAACCTTCACGAGCACCGCATCAAGGATGGGCGAGCCTATGTGCCCCATCCGACTGACAGGGTCATGCCTACCCTCAAGGGCATTAGCGCTACACTGCGATGCTCCTCCTCCTCCTCCTCCTCCTCCTCCTCCTCCTCCTCCTCCTCCTCCCCCTCCTCCTCGGGTCGCCTGAGTCCCCACCTGAGCCTGGCACAGCCAAGGGCTTGAGCAGAAGCAGCAGCTGCAGGCGAACCAGGGCAAAAGAATCGGTGAGCCCCTCGCAGATGTCACTCCCGTTGGGAGAGCGACGTTGCACGGGACAGTCCTAGGAGGCCGCAGCGCACTCGTGGGCCAACGGCGCGCGCTGTGCATATACAGTGACCGTGGCCAGAGCCCTGCACACGATACAACGATACTGCGAGTCAGACGATGTCTTGAACCCTCCGATGCTGGAGGGATCAAGCATCGCGGACTGGGCAACGCACGGCCATCTGTCGCAGGGAAAGCTGAACCGTCCTGTTGCTCACACTGATCGAACTTGCCAATATGCCACTGTCGCGGTGCAAATGAATTGCGCGGGCAAGAGTACGATGCCGTCGAGGCTCCACCCACGACCGAAGTCGTAGCACTCCTATCGTCGCTGAGATTACGTGCTCCCCCTTGGGGGAACTCCACACTGTGCTTGCCAGACTGAACACGTCTCCCTGTCGCAACGGATCAAAACCAGACGCGCCGCTTCCGAGCATGGGATAGAAGATATGGTCAATATAGGGGGGGCATCTGAAGGATGTAGAAACGAATCCTGGGAGCCCGAGAAGCTGGTGCTGGATAGACTAACCTACCTGCTAGGTGAACAGCGAAACAGGCGCAACAAGGGCCAAGAGATCCAAAGCTGCTCAGACTGTCTCAAGGTAATTACGGGAACTATCGAAACAGCATGCGTGAATAGTCCTGGAGGGAGAGATTTGTTCGGACGTGAATTAGCGTTAAGCCCTACCTCCCTGAAAAAGGTATCAAGACAGCACGGGCAGCGCAAGCTGCCAGCAGGCCAGCATTGAACAACTTTAGTAAAATCTGCTGAGGAGAAGTCCTGGAGGGAGGGGGGAGGCAGAGGGAAAGAGGGAGGAGGGAGGCGGAGAGGAGGAAGCGGACTGGAGCAACAGGACGAGGAAGAGAAGAAGGTTGGGCCCCCTCCCTCCTTCCCCATGGCTTCCGTCTGCATTCCGCCGCGGTGGAAGCCTGTTGAGTACGCAGACCTTCTCCATGAGCCTGCGCGGGCGCGCCGGAGTCGTTCCGCTACCCCCCTGGAAGAGGAGGAGGAGGAAGGAGAGGAGAGGGCAGGGAGAAGATCTTGGCAGCCTTCTGGCTCGAGCCACTTGGCCCAAGCCGCCTCGTGGACCCTGCCCTCCGACTTCGCCAGCCTGTGTCAGCCCGCCTGTCAGGTCACATTGCCTGTTTTTGTTGCTAGGGCGATGCGCGGGAGCCACGCTTCCGCGCCCAACGCTGCGGGTGCCACAGCGCGTGCGTGGCGGAGCGTCTTGTCTATCGACTTTCTCGCTGGATCACTTCGAACACTAGCGGGCGGAGGAAGGGGGGGGGGGGAGGGAGGGGGAGAGAGGGGGGATGACAGGGGAGAAAGAGCGAAACAGACCGAAAGACGTTCTGGTTCGTTCTCTCTTGACGCCAGGGATCTTGACGTCCAGGACTCGTGATCCTCCTCCCGATCAGGTCTTGCGAACGTCGGGCGCCCGGGCCCCCTTCTGGCGCTGCTCCCGTGGCTCCCCGCGCCGGCACGTGGCAGTCGTGGCCCGTGCGGGCAGCGGTCCGACCGCGGGCGCGTGCGTCAGCCTGAAGGACCAATCGGGGATGGACAGACCCCCCTTTAGTTAAACGTGGTTTAGTGAAAACGACCTGAGGCCCAAACCTGGCGCGCGCAAGCCTGGAACATAACGGCCACGGCGCCCTCCCGAGAACCGAAAACGGACAATTCACTAATCGACGTGTCACTGTTGGGGGTTCTGTCCACCCCCGAACCAAGGCCTGGGCACGGGCAAGAGAGCAGGACTCTCGCCAGAGAGTACTGCAGGTTCGTGCCGTGTCGACCCTGGCGTTGGTTCCTGACACCGCGCTGGATCGTTCTCGACCTTGGACGATCGGCCGTCTCCGCAACGTCCGATCGTTCAACATCGACCGATTCTGGGCCGCCGTCGGCGTTCAACCTTGAACGTCGGCGGCGGGGTCGCCGCCAGTCGACACGACGCGAACCTACCGTACGACGCGGAGTCGGGACGAAAAAGCACGGCCGTATGCACGGCCTCGCAGAGTGGGCCCCGGGGACGCGACCCCGCGGATGCTGGGCGTCCGCGCCGCGGACGGCCCGCGCGGAGCGTGTTCACGGCACCGCGTTGTCCAAGGGATCGCACCCACGAATCCGGACCGCGAGGGCGTGGATGACTACCTACCAGACCACCCCAACCCAACCCGAAGACCCGAATTTGACCCGAATTTCGGGTTGGGGGGGGTACGGGTTCCATGTGTTTTTTCGACGTTCCCCGACCCCCCCCTGGAAATGGAGGGCAAATTGAGGCCTTCGGGTTGGGTTGGGGTGGTTTGGTGGGTAGTGAGTGGATGCAGTGGAGGGTAGTCCACAAGAACCCTTCCGCAAAAAACCCAAGCATGAGACCCCAGGACGTCCATGGATTGTTTTGTGTGTGAACGTCGCGCTTTTCCACAGCAGAACCCTCGAAACCCAAGAGAAGCCCAGGGCACCCTGGAGGCAAGCAGGGCTTTTGTTGGCATGGGCCCCCACTGTATGGATGGATGCGTTCGCCGCTCATGTAGAGGAGAGCTCGCACTCAGTCTAGACACGCGGGCACGAGCGCTACGAGGAACACGATACGTCGCTCTCTCGCAAAAGGCTCCCTTGCTAAACCAGTCGATGGCGAAGGACGAGGCGTACATCAGCAGGCTCGAGGTCGAGCCACCTGAGGATGAGATGGACCATCACATGTGTCGGGCCAAGTGTGAGGAGATCCTGCACGGCTTGGACAGACTCGCCATCATGGCGGAGGAGGCCGACAAGGACAGCCAGCAGTACGAGTAAGAGATCGCCATATGGAAATTCGCGCTCAGCGAATTGAAAAAAACGATCGCCACGCAGGTAAACGACGCCTCAGTCCGGCTGCAGGAGGCAGAAGAGCGGACGAGCACGGTCAGGACCAAGAAGAGCGAGTTAGCCTAACAAAAGGACATGAGTTTGACAGAGATGGCTGTCATCAAATTACCATCGCGCAGCTCGAAGAGGCCAGCCAGGCGTACGAATACAAAGCAGACGCCCACTTGCAGCAGCGGCAGCCTTCGGTGCAGACAGCAGCAGCCACAGCAAAACTGGTTGGTCCCGAACTGACAGTCGCTCCGGAGACCTTCCTGGAGCCACCCGCTCCACTCGTGCGTCGATCCTGCGTCTAACATCCGTCGACTTGAGTCGTGCTTCAATCGAACTAGACTCGAATTAGAGCCAAACATATCCGTTAGATGGCCCCCAGGAAGGTCCCGAAAACGAACATCTGAAATGATTGTCAGCGTCGCAGGACATGATGGCCCAGCTGCAGGCAGCTGCGTAAACGATGATGGCGAGACAAAAGCCGACGGGTGTGGCGTTGCAGCAGATCGTGGCGAGGACGGCGGTGAACAAAGCCCCTGTGCAGCCCTTGGGCATCTCGCGGTAAAAGGGTGCAGGCAGGGAAACCTCAAGGGTGCAGGCAGAGGAAGCGTACCACCACCGCCAGCCATGCAGCCTGGGGCCATACTGTGGACACATACGATCCGAAGTCTTGCTAAAAAGAAAAAGAAGTGATTGCGTGTCATCCAGCTTTGAGCTCCCCGAGGTGCCCCAAGACTTCTGTGGGCCCACGGTGCCGTCGGTAGATGAGCGATGTCCGCAGGGCACCCGCCTGCAGGCTAATTTCTCTTCTCTGACGTGCCTACTGTACCGCAAAAGCGTTCCCACCTGGATCGTTGCCAGTGTCGCACGACGGCCAAGTGCACGGCCATCGAGTACGCGACCAGGTCTGGGCTTCAGGCATGCAAGCCCTGCCGCCAGAAGCTGGAGCGCCTGGGCTTGCCCCGCAAGGCGCCGACAGGCAAGACGCCGCCGAAGACGGTCCAGACACTCGACGACCCAGCGCGGGAGGCCGAGAGAGAGCGTGCCCGAGGGAGCCAGGCCGCGGCAGCTGCGGCGGCTGCAGCGGCCATGACGTTTCAAGGCAACTGCGAGAAAGAGATTCCACCGGTGTAGAAACCGCAATTGGCGGCGCGCACAAAGGGGTGGAGGGAGGGGGGAGGGCTCTTTAGGAGGAGGCTGCTTCTTAGAAGGCGCCGGCCTCACATCTACAGATAAGGCCCGCGCCTTCTAAGGAGCAGGGGTGCTTCTAAGAAGCCCTCCCCCCTCCCCCCCACCCCCTCTACGCGTGGCCGACGCAACACACAAACTCTGCATGATAAGACACGTGGCCAGCACAACTCAGCGTGGCAACTGTTTAGCATCCTGGAGACCACGCACGGCACAGCACGACACAGCATCTTGTTCGCATTATGTACACCAAACACGGCACGGCACGGCAACTTCTTTGCATTCTGACTTGGACCGACTTGTTCGCACTCTGGAAACTGTTCGCATTCTGGCACCTTGGAACGGCACGGAACGCAAACTGTTCACCATGTTCGCTTTTTCTGAACCCTAACCACGGCGCGGGACGGCAACTGTTTCGTGTTCTGAAAACAAAGCACGGCACGGCACCTTTGTCGCACTCCGAGACCCAAGCACTGCACGGGACGGTACGGCAACTGTTTCGCATTCTGAACCCTGTTCGCATTCTGACACCTAGGCACTGCAGGGTACGCCACCTGTTTCGACTTCTGAACCCTAACCACGGCACAGGACGGCAACTGTTTTGCATCCTGCAACCTAAAGACGGCACGGCAAGGCATGACAATTTGTTCGCATCCTGAAGACTGAAAACGCGGCACGACATGGCACGGCAACTTCCCGCATTCTGAAGCCTTAGCACGGCACGGCACGGCACGGCAGCTTTCGCATCCTGCAACCTGAGCACGCCACGACAAGGCAACTTGCCCGCATTCTGTATATCATAATAAAGACACGACACGGCACGACAGCACGGCCATTTTCCGCGCGCTGTACAACCAGGCACGGCACAGCGCGGCGCGGTGCGGCACGGCAACTTTTCCAGGCATCGTGGAAGCCAGGCACGACATGGCACGACGCAGCACAACACGGCACGGCGCGGCACCCAACTCGCATGCCGGCGACCAGCCACGGCACGGCGTCGCAGAATAATGCGGCAATATGTTTCCGGATTTGGGGGTATCAGAAAGGCCTCTCTTCTTGCAAAGAGTGAGACCCCTTCCAGCATTCGCTGCTTGGGGAAAGAGGTAAGTGAGCTCGGGCACAACCGGCGCCGTTGATGCTGCCTCCTTCCCGACCCCCCTTCCCCCCCTTTCTCGATCGCACCATGGCCTACTTCGATGTCACACACCATGAGATGCACCAATAAATGCTGCCAGAGCCCTTCGTTAAGGACATCCCATTGGACCCATGCTGAAAAGCGGCAAAAACGCCAGCAACAACTCACCTTCCAAGCATCACGCGCCCAAATTTTAGGGTGTGATTTTCTTGTTTTCCCGCCAGTGCCCCCCTTGGAAGGTTCGTGGCGGGGAGGGCAGCCTGCAACTTGTGGAGGTAAGCCCCGCAGCTAGTCAGCCGCGTCAACCCGGGAACACCAAAGGAATCTCCAGAATACCAGAAAAATCTAAAATCGAAAAAATACTCCCTCCCTCCCCTCACTCCTCGAACCCCCGAAATTTGCGGAGGCCCAAAGAGCCAAGAGCGGCGACGCAATTGCGGCGGCGACGGCGACGGCAGCAGCGGGGTCAGCGGCGGCGGCGGGGCGGCGGCGGCGGCGGCGACGGCGACGGCGACGGCGACGACGACGAGGACGACGACAACAGCGGCGACGGCGACGAGGATGGCGACGTCGGCACCGGCGTCGTCGGCGGCGGCAGCGGCGGCGGCGACGACGACGACGGCGGCGGCGGCGGCGGCGGTGGCGGCGGCGAGGGGGGCGGCGGCTGCAACGGCGGCATCAACGGCGGCGGAGGCGGCGGAAACGACGACGGCGACACCGACGCCGACGACGGTGCGTGCGTGTGGGGAGGGGGGGGGCCTGCCCCGAGCCACGTCGAGGCGCAGGCGCTGTGTCCCAGCTGCCGCGGCGGGTTTCTCGCGGCCGCCCTGCGGAGGGGAGCGGCTGAGGGAGCGAGGAAAGGCGAGGGAGAGATGAAGCAAGGGAGGAGGGAGCGAGGTAGGAGGGAGGGGGAGAGAGGAAGAAGAGAGAAACTCAGAAAAGAGGCGAAGGGACGGAGCGAGGGAGCAAGCAAACAGAGGAGGATCGGAGCGACACGGCAGGAAGAAGGCGTCGTGCCCCGTAGCGCCATCCGGGGCCCCCCTTTCGCGGGTCGCAAACATGGTGCATTGACCTTCAAAAAACCGTTAGGGCAAAATGTATACCGCGCCCTACCAGGCGGCCAAAAACCACCCAGGCCCCAACCTCCCACCCTGGCCAGGGGCTCAAGGTTTGAGCCCATCATATCCGAGGGAGGCAGAAGAAAAGTGAGGAAAGGGACACCACCATCATAATCATCATTATCACCATCACCATCACCATCGTCATCACCATCACAATCATCACTACCATCACCGTCACCGTCACCGTCACCAATATCATCACCCTCGTCGAACTCGTCGTCATCGTCATCAGCAGCAGCAGCCTCCTCCTCCTGCTCCTCCTCCTCATCATCATCCTCTTCATCATCGTCATCACCATCATCATAAGCATCCCCCTCATACTTCTCATCACAATCCGAATCGCATCCTCATCATCGCAGACGCAGGAACCATCATCGCCGCCACCATAATCGTAATCACCAGCATAATGATCAGCATGAGCATCACCAGCATCACCATCAAAATCACAAGCATCACCATCATCATCATCATCATCATCACCATCATCATCCTCATCCTCATCCTCATCCTCATCCTCATCATCATCATCATCATCACCATCATCATCATCATCATATTATTATTATTTCTTTTCTTCTTCACAACCACCAGCACCATCAGTATTATCATCATGACCATCATGGTCATCAACACCATGATCATCATCACTATCAGACTCCTTATCCTCATCAACATCATCAACATCATGATAAATATCGTCTGCATCGCAACCGTGCTGGTCGTCACCAGCAGCCGCAACGTCATCATCATAAGCAGCGTCAGAATTTGCATATTCTTCTTCATCATCATCAACAACGTCAGCATCAACGTCGACATTAACATCATCATCGGCATCGCCACGGTCATCATCATTGGCATAACCATCAGCATCAGCAGCATCAGCAGCATCATCGTCTTGGTCGGTCACCATCATCGTCGCCATCTTCATCAACATCAATAACACCATGATAATCATCAGCAGCAGCCTCAGCCTCAGCCCCCCCTTCCTCATCATCGCCATCATCAGCATTATCAGCACTGTCATCATCATTATCATCCTCATCAGCAGCATCAGCATCAGCAGCATCAGCATCATCATTGCCATATGCATCTTCATCGGCATCATCGTCATCAGTATCATCGTCATCATACTGACCATCATCGTTGCACTCGCCATCCTGATCGTCCGAATCACCAGCATCATAATCGGTACCGCCACCATCAGCAGCATCATCACCATCACCATCGCCATAATCACCACAATCATCGTCGTCGTCGTTGTCAGCACCACCTTCATCATAATCACTATTATCCGCATCAGCAGCAGCAACAACGTCAACAGCACGTCATAACAACCAAAGCCATCACGAGCGAGAAGTCGCGTCGAGGCTGGGCCCGCGCTAACGCAGGGCACAACCGTCGACTGGCGCAGGCCCAGGCCAGGCGGTGGGGCGAGCGCGAGTCGGCGTCGCGGAGCCGAGCAACCTCGCCGACGCCTCCCCCAAGCCTGGCGCTGGGTCAGCCCAGCCTCGGCACAACTAGCAGCCACTGCGACGCCAGTGCGCTCGCGCAGCAGGGTCGGGCGGGCGGGGAAAAACGCATCCCGCCAGCGGGACGGCCACGCGTGAGACAAATCCCATTCACCTGCGACGAGAACGCGCTCGCGGGCGCGCAGGGTGGGGATCCGCCTCAGCCGTGAATAGCCGTCCCGCAGCATTAGAGACAAGCAAGAAGATAGCCAATAGGGGCCACGACGCTCGCGCGACTTCTCCCCGCGCTCAAATGCTGCCCAGAGCGCCCATGAGAAGTCGCGTCGAGGCTGGGCCCGCGCTAACGCAGGGCACAACCGTCGACTGGCGCAGGCCCAGGCCAGGCGGTGGGGCGAGCGCGAGTCGGCGTCGCGGAGCCGAGCAACCTCGCCGACGCCTCCCGATGCATGCTCGGCGGAACGACGCCCAAGCGCGCTCTAAGCAGACCGCAGATGCCTGGTCTGCTTGACTCACGGCCTGGGCGGCCCCTGCACCGCTTCCGCGGCGATCGGCGCGTCCTGCGCGCCACGCGCCGCCGCGGAGCCCCGACCCCGATGCCTGCAGGGCGGCGCCTCGTCGGAATCGGAGTGCGCGATCTCGGCTTCTGCCGCCAGCACCATGGCTCGCGTCTTTGCGGCCGGGTACCTGTGCGCCGCCAAGCGCCGCGCCCTCGCGACCCAGGCAGCGCGGCCGCGCCCCCTGTCGGAATGGAGTGCCCGAACGCGGCCACAGATCTCCAACCCCCTTCGAAGAACAGCGCTGCTGGCCCCCCGGTGCGGAGTGCCTGCGTGCGAGAGACACGAACTGCGCGCGGGCCCTGGGTAGGCAGGGGACGGCAAGGGGAGCCCATGCCTGGTCGGCCCGGCCGCGCCTGAAGCAATGCGTCCCCCACTCCAATGCCCTACGGAGCCCGAGGTGGGCAGCGGCGAGCTCGGCGCAAGCCAGCCCGTCCACGTAAGAGACGCCCGGCAGGAGCTGCTCGCCAGGCCGGAGCGAATGCCGAATGATGCAGACCGCACACAATCGTTTGCCCTGGAGCTGGCATACGCATACCCTCCAGACCTCGCGATGCGGGGAGCCCGGGGCGCGCCCCGCCGCGCGCGCGCGCTCGGCCCGCCGGGTCGGGAGCCACTCTCCCCTTCCGCTGGCGGAATTGCACCTGCACCTGGTGCTTTCCTTCGTCTACGTGGAGCGAGACGGCACTATGCCCAGGCGCATTCAGCCCCACTACTTCGGAGCCGAAGCGCAAGCAGAACTGCCAGCATATGACGAAAGCGTCGGCCATATCGCCGCGTCCGATCTGCCAAACGCCAGGCCCGCGGGCCGGCACGCACGGCAGGCCGCTTAGTTCGAAGAGCGCGCGGCCGCGCCTCGCGCAGCCAATCCGACATCGCGCGCACGTTTTCGGCCGTGGCGCGCGCACGAAATCTTTGCGCACCAGGCGGTTCCGCCTGCCGCCGATATCATGGGCTCGCGGCCGACGCGCGCGGCGGCCGTACCTTTCGGGCACCGAATACCAGGGTCCGCGTGTCCGCCAAAGACCCTGTGTCTGCGCGGAGCAGATGCAGGACTGAGCGAATGCCCTGCAAATAGTTCGACAGGGTCCCCGGGCGGCGACAGAGCGCCACCATCATGTCCCGCGCGATGGCGCACGGCGGCCAGGGCGGGACGCCTGCCGCATCGCACGCCTGGCCGTACAACTCCACCGCCGAGGCATACGGGTATGCCGAGAGCTTCCACGCGTGGAATTCTCGCCACAGCGCGGCCATCTGGATGCGGCGCATGCACTCCAGTCCTGCTCCTGACACCCGCAATTCCTCGGCGCGCCGACGAGGTGTTCCTGGCACCCGCCGCACGCCGATGTCCTGCCTCGCGCGCACCTCCCGCGGAATGCCGCCTTCGCTTATGAATATCGCGGGCGGAGCCTGGAGTTTCGTCAGCTGGCGGATTGCCTCTGCCAGCATCGGCGGCGCTGGTACCTCCGCGCCGCGCGCGGTGCACGAGGACGGTGGCGCCGCGCGGTGGTGCCTGCCGTGCCTGCCTTGCCGCTGAGAGCAACGCGAGGGCTTCTTGAGGCGTCAAACCCCCGCCGGGCCGGCGTTTCGCGCGCAAGCCCGGTGCCGGTGCCGGGCACTTGGCCGCTTTCTCGAGTAACGTTTCCGCCGCCTTCGCGCCCACGGGTCAGCGGGCGGCGGCCGGCCTTGCTTGCTCCGCCGGATGGGGCGGAGTTGCGCGCGCGCGCTCGACCTGGGAGAGCGATACCGCTGCATCGTCCTCCCGGGGCCGCTTTGCCTTTTCGTGGGTCAGCTTACGCGCGTGAGTAATAAGCGTCACGGTGAAGCACTCTGACCACTCCCGGAGGCACGGGAACACTTCCCTCGCCTCCTTCGCCGTGAATCCGGACAGGTCGGGGGGATACGCCGCTCCTTCGGCTGCGAGCATGGATGTCAGACACTGCAGAGCTTCCGCGCCTACCGGATGCGAATCATTTTCGGGCGTCCACCGCGACGCGTGTGACAAGCACGCAAGCATGGCGCCCGCGGGCCCCCTCTCGCGGCGGGCCTGGTCGTCACGCGCTCGCCGCGCAAGCCTTTGCGCCCCCTACAAATTGCCCTGTGCTACTTGCTATGCATGCCCGCGCGAATGCCAGGGCGCCGCGCGGGGCCATGGCCACGCCACTCGGGTGAAGCCCTCGCGGTGCATGGCCGCAATCGCGGCCGCCTTCGTGGCGGGCCGCGTAGGGGCGTCTGCCACGTTGAGCGCGGATGGCACATACCACGCGCTCAGGAGGCACCGCGCGGTCGCTGCTGCGAACCAAATATCTGCCACGAGCGCGTTATAATCTGCCTGGCGCGAGGTCCCGCGCAGGAGCACCCCGAGCGCGGCCTGGCGCGGTCAGCGGAGCATCGCACGGGCAGCTCGGCGACCCGCGCCCGGCCGCGCCTTCGAATCGACAAACAACACGATTTCCGCATCGCGCAGCGTCGCGAGCAAATGATGCAAGGCGCAAACGGCCGCGACGAGTTCCCATGCCGCGACCTTTCGCAACACGGCGGGCTGTCCGCCAGGCTACGCGTGGCCGGGGCGCCCCCGCCTGCGTCTTGCGGTGCTTCGTCCACCGCTTGATCGACGAAGGCACATCAGCCGCTGCATAGCGCTTACCGCTGGGCCCAATGATGACCCACGCGAGCCTGCGGA